CTAAATTGAAACGGTTTCGTGCTAGTTCAAGTAAAAAGAACTCATAAACTAATTCCAGCACAAACACAAACAAATTCAACTTGTAAGGCAAGTGTTGCCTCCAACTTATAAACTCTTTAATTGTTTTATTTCCAATCAATGTGAAACTTGAAGTTTTATTTAAATATTAATTAGAACATGTTTTTAGAAATAGGATTAATTCATTATATTGAAAAACAAAAATATATTATTATAAATTATTTTAACTCTTAAAATATTTAATATTCTAAAAAAAATTAGTTTTTTTATTAAATAATTTTATTTTAAAAACTATCATTCAATTAAAACTCATCATCATTAATTTATACATTTAATTAAAATAAATATTTAATTATTAATATTTTAAATTAAAATTAATTTTTATGAAATATTTATAAATAATTTAGTAAAATCATATTTTATTAAGTAAATACTTTTAATTTTAAAATTTTATAAATTATCATTAAATTAAAACTCATTATCATTAATTTATCATATTTATATAATTTTATATATTTAATTTAATTAAAATTAACTCCAAATTTTTTTAATTAAAATTACAATAAAAATTAATTATAATGATATATTTATAAATAATTTAGTAAAATAATATTTTTTAATTAATTATTCTATGAAATTGGTTGGGATTTATGTGAGCCAACTCTTTGGGACTAGAACAAACCAAGGCTATCCAAGAAATAAAGAAGATTGCACAGAATCCTCCTGCATTAAAAATCCCAGGAGATGGGAAAAGAATACTCCAGACAGATAGACAAGCTTTGCCGACAACATGAATACTTCTATGATCATTAAAATTGTAGAAAAATTTGTAAAAATTCTTACAAGTTATTTTTCATTAAAAAATTATAAGAAATATCTATAAATTATTTTTTCAAATAAATTTGTAAATTATTTTTTTGAAATTAATATTATAAGAAAATTTGCAAAAAAAAAATTTGCGAATATTTTTTTTTGTAAGAGAATTCGCAGGAAAGTAACAATTTTATAGTAATGTTTGACTCTTTAAAAACTTTAACTTTATTAAAGTTAACTCTCTTTGAATTTGTGGTTTTTTTTTTTTTTTATCAAATTCAAATATCGAATCTTGAGAACTTATAGCAGAATTAGTTAGACTAACAAACATTGGTATCTAACAAGAGTATATGTCTTTATATACATGTTATTTTTAACATCTTGAAATTTTAATTTGAAAAGTTTTAAAATGTGTTAACATTTATGAAAATTAAACTTTGAAAAGGATAAATTTTCAGCATACATTTCTTGAATTTTATCATTTCCAAAATTTAATATTCGAAAGTATTAAAATTTTATCTCTCTAAAACCTATACTCTTTAGTCACAACTCCTAGTTGAACCCTGAATTTAAAAAAAAAAAAGAAAAAAAAGAAACTTGAATCATAAAAATAAACTCCAACTTCAAAGTTTGTACGTGTCCATTCCACCATTCACACATTTTGCAAAGCATAAAAATAAACTCTCGTCAATTCATGTCTTTGCCACCATCTTTTACGACGCT